GCAGAGAAATGAAGGCCCAGGTCCCTGGTCCCTCAAAGAGAAAAGTAGCGGAGGAAGGATTTGAACCCCGGACACTCCAATCCAGTGCACCCGTGGTGGAGAGGAGTCACATCTCCCCACCCTCCAGTGGGGTGCTGGGGGCTGTGAATGTGGGTTTCCTTCCTCCTTGTCTGTGGTGGGCAGAGTCACCGGCCAAGGAAAGGGGGTATTCCACAGGTTTTCCCACCCGCAGTAAGGTAAACAGAGCTCATGGACAAGCCCCATGGGGTCCTGGGTTCTTGAGGAGAGAATGCCAACACCTACCCGTCCAGCTCTGCCAACCTGCACTCTCACATCTGGGGGTGGGGGTCCCCCATCCCCTCTCCAGCTGAGACCACCGTCTTTCTCAAGCCTGGGATCTTGGGGGAGACCACTCTCAAAGTAGGAGCCTGGCTTAGTTCTATAGTGAGGTTATAACAGCAACACAAGGGGCGGTTGCTTTAAGACACATTATTTTCTGACCATTTAGAAGGCTAGAAGTCGGAATCTGGAGGGAAGTCTTTGTCTCTGTGCGTCAGCTCTGAAGGAAAGGCCTTGTCTCTTCGAGCCGCTGCTCCTGAAGCAACGTCAGGTGGCTTGGCATATGTCTTCCCCGCCTCCGCTGGGTTCACTTTTTACATCTTTTATATAGTGAAAGAGATTGACTCAAAATACCCCGACAGGAACCCAGCTCCATTAACATATCAGAGGCGGCTCTCCATTCCCAGATGGGACTGTATCCACCACACAGAAGTTAGCATTGGCCACACGTATTTTAGCGGGGGTGGGGGGACCCAACTCAATTCCTATAACAGCCTGAATCTCGTGATGTCATGTCCATACATCCCATGTGCATTATTTGTAATGTCACTGAATCAGTTCTACCTCATGGGCACCTGTTGGGTGGGACAGAACTGCCCCATAGGATATCTGTCCAAGTTGCCATCTTTAACGAATGGGACTGTCACATCTTTCTCCCACGGAGCAGCCTGTGGGTTTGAACCGCCAGCCTATAGGGTTAGCAGCCAGGGCTTAACCACAGTACCCCAGAATTCCTTAATCCTAAATCAAGACAAAACAACACTCTGACCCTATAGGACAGAGCAGAATTGCCCTTGTGAGTTTCTGAGACTAAACCTTTACAAGCGTTGAAAGCCTCATTTTTCTCCGGAGAAGCAGCTGGTGGATTCGTACTGCTGACCATGCAGTTAGCAGCCCAACGTGTAACCTACGATGCCAAACAGCCCCTTCAAATACGAGGAGGCCTACAATAAAATGCAGTCGTCTTGTGCCTGGTCGTGGGAACGGACGGGGGAGGCAGTTTTGCCATGGGATGTGACTGGACACGCATCCCTCACACAGGGACTGTCCCACCCCCTTTCTGTGTGGTTATTACTGTAGTCTGAGACATGGTTCCCTCTCCCTGCTCACCACAGTCCAGAGAGGCCTGCACAACCTGTCAGTCACCCTTTTGAATCATCTTCTCACCACTTCTGGGGGCCCACTCTACCCAGTCCAGTCATACGCCTCACTCAACTCCTACGCCAGGCCCTTTGCACTGACTGCGTCCTCTGCTAGGAACACTCTTCCTCTAGATGCCCACATAGCTCCCTCTTTCCCCTCCTTGACCCCTCAATCCTTGTACGAGCTCCTGATTTAAAATTGCAAACCCTCTGCCCCCTTCTCCATCCAAACCCCAAAGCCAAACTCCGACTGGGTCACCCTGGAGCCAGAGGAGAACTGTCAACCTCTGGGAGCAGACAGCCGCATCTTTCTCTAGCAACCTGCATCGGTGATTGTTTGGCAGTTAGTGGCTCCACAGGTAGCCCACTAATATTTACATTACTACTTTGCTTATTGTCTCTCTCCCTTTGTGTATGTTTGTCGCAGGTATTCAGTGTCTCCCGAGAATTCCTGGAACACCTGGTGAAGCAGGTGCTAAGGCCCTCATGCCCATTTTGCTGAGGGGGAAACTGAGGAACAGTGGGGCACTGCCACATGTCAAGTGAGGTCAAGCAGCCAGCTGCAGATTCCAACAGGCACCTGGCTCCAGAGCCCAGGCTGCTAATGGCATCACCAGTCTCAGCTAATGTAGATGGTCTAAACCACTTCCCTAGTCCTGGTTTTTTTGTTGTTGTTGTTCTAAATGCCTTAAGTGGATTCCCTTCATTAAAACAAACAAACAACCAGCAAAGATTAAAAGGAAGCTGCTATGACGGACCACTATACAATTTGAAAGGCCACTGAAAATGCATAAGCAGACATGTACCATCACCCCCTCCCACACACACACACACACACACTACCTCATTAGTGCCACATACCTGTTGCCTGTGCTTTAGGCCCAACCCTCAGCACGCCTCCATCCACCTTACCCCACTATGAGATTGATTCTCATTCATCTGGGTTTCTCTACTTTTTATATCCTCTGTGGTGCCAACTCCAGTTCTTAAATGAATTATTTCTCATCCAGGCCTCTAAATGAAAAGGCGCACACTTCCTGCCCCACCGACCAGCCTGTGGTCAGCCACCTCTAAGACCTTTCTCCGGCTTGGGTGACCTCTGGGCTGCCCAATAACCTGAATCTGCTTGCTGCCCCTTTGGGGGCTGCATTTTACTGAGCCCCAGTGATGAGAGGCCCCTAGAATGCTCCAGGGGCTCTGGGGCACGCCCAAGCAAATCCACACTCTCCCTCCTTAGCCCTGGCTGGTCTAAAGGGACACTTCTGCTAGAAGTGGGCACCCCAGGCCACCAGAGTACAGAACAGCCCCCAAGGATCACGCGTTGGTGGGGTGGGGCTTATAAATGATCACTTCTGCTGTGGACTTTATCTTGCGGTGAAGGGAGAACGTAGTGCCATTGGTGTCACAGTGGGTTAAGCACCGGGCTGCTGACCCAGTGGTTGGTGGGTCAAACCCATCAGCCTCTCTGAAGGAGAAAGATGAGGCTGTCTGCTCCCACAGAGACTTGCAGCTTCGTCATCCCTAGAGAGCAGTCATACTCTATCCCATATAGGATCACTGTAGACTCAGTGCCCATGAGTTTTCTTTTTGAAATCACAATAATTCTGGTCTTTTACATTTTCTTTTTAAGTCGTAAAGCTTGTGGCATTGGCAACATGTGAGTCTGCTTCATAATCATTTCTTAGCCTACCCAGAGACGCATTGCTATAGCTTATGCCTCACTGCCACTGAATCCGTTCTGACAATGGCAGAGTCGGGTAGGAGGTTGCTAGGCCCAAGGTCAGCAGTTCAAAACCACCAGCTGCTCCACCAGAGAAAGATGAGGCTTTCGACTACTCACCTGATTTAGTGTTTCGGAAACCCACAGGGGCAGTTCTACTCTGTCTCCTCGAGGGTCGCTATGAAGGAGCGTAGAAACCAAACACACAAACAAGCCTGTCCACCATGGATTTGACCCTGACTCCTGCTCCATCGATGTGCTTTGTGATCATCTTCCCGGAGCCGATCTCTAGCCAGACCTTTCTTCCGTGGCACTGCTGCGTGGGTTCAGGGCACTAACCTTTGGGGCTCGGGGCGGAAAGCAAACCACTGGCCATCAGGTGGTCCTTAAAGTAGCTTAGAGTTCCCACTTTAAGAACAGACAGTGAACTAGCAATCGAAAGCACCCCCCACACCTCGCTCTCTTGAATGTAACCGCACTTCTCCATAGGAATCCTTTTCTGCAGGTATGTGTTGACTTCCTGCGTGTGTGTGCGTGTGTGTGTGTGTGTGTGTGTGTGTGTGTGTGTTGGGGGTGGGGGTGTTCTGGCTCCCTAGCTCTTTGAGAGGCATTGTGGTGGGGTCTCCAATTTATTCTTCCAGGGAGATACAGAATGGGAGGAGGGAGACCTCCAACCAGATTGAAAAAAAACATTTAAAAAAACCTTCTTATCAAAATATCACAATGCTTTCAGAACCCCAATGCAGCGGGACACAGGGGCTCTAGCAGAACCCCCACCACCGACGCCACGGCTTCTCCCTCCCGCCGGGCAGCGTGGGCGGCAGTGTCTCCGCCTGCCTTTGCCGCTGCCCCCCTAAATCAGTCAATCTCACTCTCCGCCTGCGCTTACAACCCTTTCAAGGATCCTCTGTTCTGCGTGTCTTTTTGATCGGGAGGCGCGCGTCCGCGATGCCAACATTCACAGGGCTCTTAGATGGGGAGGAAATGTGGGGGCGGCCCCCTCTGTCTGGATCGCGGGCCTCTCGGTCCCGCACGGATGCCCCGGCGTGGGTTGTGGCGACGCTCACCCCTACCCTGTGCACCGCGGCCCCGGGCGGGCTGGGGACAGGCGACCATGGGGGGCCGGGCCCCCCTTCTCCTTGCGGGGAGCCGGGCGGCGGAGGCGGCTCGCTCGCAGTGCGCAGAATCCCCGCTGCAGTGGGCGGAGCCTCAGGCCCCGCCCCCCCGTGCCGCCCGGCTCAGCCTGTCGGGGCAGAAGCTGGGGCCCGCCGAGGGTGCAGCTGCCGCCTGCCGCGTAAGGCCGAGGCCCCTCTTGGGTGGGCAGTGGGCTGGGTGGTGGCGGTGGGAGACCCCCCCCCCCGGTCTCGGGCTTCTGGTCTGAGCTGTCCGGTCGGTACCTGACGCGGAGGGAGGGCAGCCGAGCCACCTGGAAAATGTCCGCGGACAATCCCAGAACTGGGAAAAGCCCGGCACAGGGACTTGAGGCTCCGCTGGCCCCATCCAGACCTGTCTTTTGGGGCCGGTCTGGATGCGAGCTCAGGAGAGGGTTCATCGGGGGACAGGCTGGGCTATTGAGGGACCGAGTGGGCACGAGATGGGGGGCAGGAGAGCCCTTACACGGGGCTGGGAATAAGCCTGCAGCAGCTGGACCTTGGAAGCTCGCAAAAGCCCTGCTGACCAGCTTCCTCCTTTTGGGGTGGTGGGCGTGGTGCCAGGGGCCCCGTGATGGCAGGCGAGGAGACCCAGGGCATCCCCAGAGCCTCTAAACTGACCTGCCCCCCTGGGATGCACCCCCAAAGGCCGGAACGCCCCGCCCAGCCCCCCGGCTGCCCCACTTGGAGACCCTGACACACCCACCTTCCCGCCTCGGCCCTGCGGACCACCCCCAGCTGTCTAGCATGATGAAGCCGAAACTCCTGTACCAGGAGGTAGGCGGAGGGGAGCCAGGGGGACGGGCGGGGGCTGGGCACAGTGGAGGGTGGGGGACCCGACCTGCCACCCCACGTTCCCACAGCTGAAGGTGCCTGCTGAGGAACCGGCCGGCGAGCTGCCGGTGAATGAGATCGAAGCCTGGAAGGCTGCGGAGAAGGTAGGGAGGCCCAGCATCCTCCGTCAGCCCCCGCGGGGGGGAGGGGGGCCGGCCCCGCCCCCAAGGCCCGCTAACCCCCTTCTCCTGCCCACAGAAAGCCCGCTGGGTCCTGCTGGTCCTCATCCTGGCCGTCGTGGGCTTCGGTGCTCTGATGACTCAGCTGTTTCTATGGGAATACGGAGACTTGCATCTCTTCGGGCCCAACCAGCGCCCAGCTCCCTGCTACGACCCCTGCGAGTGAGTGGGGGGAGGGCCAGCTGGCCAAGGGGAGGGGCCTGCCCACAGACACCAGCTCTGACACACAGGGAGCAGGGCCTGCACGAAGCCACACACCCCACCTGGGCACCGTGACGGGCAGGAGACTCAAGAGTTCAGGGTCCTGTTCTTCCTCCTCAAGGCCCACCGCCTATGAGCCGTTCCCATGGCAGCCCCAGGGAGGACTTCCATCGTATTGGTGGGCAGACACAGAAGCATAGCAATCCTGAGAATCTTTTATCTATGTCTGTAGACAGACACATGATTTTCCATCTACATCTGTGGACCGTTACACACACAATCTTCCATCCATATCTGTGGACAGACACACACACACACAATTTTCCATCTATGTCTGTGGACACACAATCTTCCATCCGTATCTGTGGACACACACACACACACACACAATTTTCCATCCATGTCTGTGGACACACACTTCCATCTCTGTCTGTGGACAGACACACACTTCCATCTCTGTCTGTGGACAGACACAAAATCTCCCCTCTGTATCTGTGAAAAGACACACACACACACACAAAATCTCCCACCCACATCTGCAGACAGACACACAATCTCTTACCAACATCTGTGGACACACATGTACACAATTTTTTTGTCCATTATCTATGGACAGACAAACAGACACACACATACACACAATCTCCCATTCTCATCTGTGAAGACAAAGGCACACATACAGTCTCCTTCCACATCTATGGCCAGACACAAACAGATACACACAATCTCCCAGCCATATTTGTAGATACACACACACAGGCACACACACTCTCCCTGCACATCTGTGGACACATGCACCAGGGTCTCCCAGCCACAACTGTAAGGAGCCTGGGCTGCACCCCGCAAGGTCAGCAGTTGAAACCCACCAGCTACTCCACAGAAGAGAGGTGAAGTATTCGGCTCTTGTCATGATTCTCAACCTCAGCAGCTCACTGGGCAGATCTGCTCTGCCCTGTAGGTCTCAGTGGCAGTGAGACCTCCAGCGGTGGACAGACAGACACTCCTGCCCAGACATCATGCCCACCGTCTTCGATCCGAGTCTGTGGACACTCGCCTAAACACACGCCGCTCTGCAGGCACATGCATGCACCCAGTCACTCTTCCTGTCCCTGGGCCCAGTATGCACATGCACCCCTGTCTCCCAGGGCCGTACTGGTAGAGAGCATTCCTGAGGGCCTGGACTTCCCCAATGCCTCTGCGGGCAACCCCTCCACCAGCCAGGCCTGGCTGGGCCTGCTCGCCGGGGCCCACAGCAGCCTGGACATCGCCTCCTTCTACTGGACCCTCACCAACAATGACACCCACACCCAGGAGCCCTCTGCCCAGCAGGTACGTACGTGGCAGCCTGGGCCCTAGCTTGGGGGGTGGTGTGTGTGTGTGTGTGCATGCTGCAGCCCAGGAGACAAATGGGCTGGTTGGACACTGGTGCCTGGCACTGCTGTCCTCACGTAGCCTCCTGGCCCCGGGGGTGTTTGTCACGGCCCTCCGAACACAGGTCTCTGAATGTCAGGGTGCAGGTTTGGTTACGGGGGATTAGCTTCGCAGCGGTTGTGCGCCCACATGCAACCCTGATCCAGCCCCACAAAGAAACAGGGCTCCCTCCTTCTCAGCGGTGTGACCTTGACCTTACCTCCTGGCTTTCCTTATCTGTCAAATGGAGCTGATCGCTGGCACCCGCCCCTTAGGCCTGTGATAAGGAGGAGATAGATTCACCAGTGTGAATGGTAACCCTGGGTCAGCCCTTCGTAAGCATTTGTGATTGCTCCATCCCCTGGGGAGCTGTGGGTCTGCATCCACTCCTTGTTTCAGTAAAGCGTGGGAGCCAGCCCACATCCACATGGGTCCTCGGGGATGGTTGTGTCATTGAGGGAAGAAATTATGAGGCAGACAGACTTCTAGGGTGCTCACCTCCTCCATGACATCAGGACCAGGTCAGAGTGCGAGAGAGAATGCAGTCTTTCACCAACTTATATCGTCTTGGGGCATGCAAGCCTCCCCAACCACAGACACCTACCACCTTAACAGGGTGGGCAGTATCTTAACCCTTAACAGATCCCTGAGCTCACTGGGGGAGTAACCTAACACCAACGCTGGGGGGAGGTGAGGGGGAGTGACTGTCCCTGAGCGGAAAGAACAATAGCAACGTGTCTGCTGCTAGTGATCAAGCTGCCGACCATGTAACTAGCCATGTGCTTGTAAGAGCTATCATTAGGTCAGCATTATGATGGGAGGATACAGTGTGGGGGGGGGGGTTTAATTATGAGAATGTGACTGGGACTCCTAAGTAGGAAGGCCTCCCACCACCCAGAGCCCTGGCCCCGCCGGGCTGCCTCAATCCTGAGAATAAAGACTTTGTACGCAAGCACTCCCTTCCTGGTCCTCAGTTTCACACTGTCAAGTGTCAAACATTTTAAAAAGGACCGCTTGGGGGACAGCCCCCCCACCCCACCCCACCGCAGCTCCTCCCTCGCTCTGCTGCCTGTTCCTTGTGACCAGCAGGGCTTCAACCTTACTGTCACTTCCCAAAGTTCAAAAACGTGTGGACTCCCACAACGGAGGAGCAAGCAATGGGCCACCACTGAACCTGTGTCCTCACCGGCAGGCGGGCAGGGTGTGTGTGGTTTATCATCCAGCCTGCCTCAGTGGGCTGTGATGGGAGGGGGCTTAGGACAGGCCTGCTCCGCAGCAGATCAGTGTCAGAACATTGTCACCTGTCACTATTAGAGTCCTTATGCCTCACCCCATACCTCCCCAGCCTCCAGCCTGGGCTCTGGCCCCACATCCCACCAGGCGGAGGATCCCGGGAGGTTCCCAGGAGATGTAGGAACACCAGGGAGGCTCTGGGTGTGGAGATAGGTCGGATGAGCCCATATTTAAAGCAGATCCTAAGGGGCTTCAAAACACTCATAGGAAAATGGGAGGAAAGGGTGACGGGATTTGTCCACAAACTTTCTGATGCTCCCTCATCTAGAAGGGGCTTCCACAACCAAACTCACTCCCACCGAGTTTATTCCAACTCTCCGTGGTCCGATGGGACAGGGTAGAGCTGCCCCCTGTGAATTTCTGAGCCGGTGACCCTTGACAGGAGTAGAAAGCCCTGTCTTTCTCCTGTGGGGCGGCTGGTGGTTTCAAACTGCTGACCTTGGGGCTAGCAGCACAATGCATAACCGCTATGCCACAAGGATAGAAGGGGCTATAGGGACCTGCAAAGCTGACCTTAGGTGCACTGGCTCAGTGTACCATCTGGTAACTTATGCTCACTTCCGGACGAGCCTCCAAGTTCAAGTTCAGGGCAAGCCCAGGAGGAGGCCATTTGGAGCTGGGTGCTAGCCAGATCCGACAGAAGCTTTTCTTCCCCCCAGGGTGAGGAGGTCCTGCGGCAGCTGCAGACCCTGGCACCCCGAGGTGTGAAGGTCCGTATCGCCGTGAGCAAGCCCAATGGGCCCCAGCCACAGGCCAACCTACAGGCTCTGTTGCAGAGTGGTGAGCTGGGGGCGCCCTGGGGCTGGGCCTGGCCGGGCCTTTCAGGCCTCTGACCACCACCCTCATGACCCCTGTTGGTTGCAGGCGCCCAGGTCCGCATGGTGGACATGCAGAAGCTGACCCACGGCGTCCTTCACACCAAGTTCTGGGTGATAGACCAGACCCACTTCTACCTTGGCAGTGCCAACATGGACTGGCGCTCCCTGACCCAGGTCAGCTTGTGATCTGCCGACTGGCCCTTCCGGCCTGCTCTCTGCCCCCCAGGGCATCCGGTCTCTCACTGTTTCCTCCTTAGTGCCCAAGTTCTCTCAACCCAGTCTCTTTCCTACCTCCTACCACCCCTCCTAAACATCTCTAAATCCAGCCCTCTACTGCCCTCCCCCACTCAAGAAGCTGGGGTTCCCTCTGAGCCCCTGTGGCAGCTGCTACTCTTTCCCAGCCACGCAAGGCCCCTCAAGGCCCCACCCACACATTTGACCTTTATTATGCATTCCTGGTGCCTGCGCACAGTCAGCTGCTTCCTGGTGATGACGTGAACATGGTGGTAGCTCCCGGAACTCCTGGATATCCCAGGCCCATGGGGGACAAGCCTGTCACCACACAGGACACCTTAAGAGTGTCAAGCCCAGGGTGGGAGAGACCCAGGCAGATAGGTTGGGGCTGGGATTAGGGAGGTGCAGGAGGGGGACTGGGAGGAGGGGAGTGCATGCATTGAAGTTGGACTGGGATGAGGGAGGCCATTGAAGTTGGACTGGGTGGATGCATTGAAGTTGGACTGGGTGGGGGGCTCTGGGCTAGGCTGTGGGGCACAGCCAGAGGATTGAGGACAAGGTCAGGGAGACATAGAAGGCTTGGGAAGCACAGAAGGGGTGTCTGACTCCTCCTGGGGTAACAGAGAGAGGTTCGAATCTGATACCTGTTGGATGAAGGGCCAGGATGAAGGACCAGCTTAATGGAGGTGTGGAATTGAAAAAAACAAAAAACATTCATCCACTTACTCAGCAAACATGGGAGGCTTTGAAAAAGTTCATGGACAAATGGGATTAAAAGATCATGGATTTCCCCTATGAATTCATTGAAATCCCTTCGTATTTCCTAGGTTGAACCAAACCACTAATCTCACCCGTTGAGGGGAGACGTCGAAGAGACCTCTGTGTCTCAGATAGCCCACATGCCTGACCTCCACCCAGTGGGCACAGGGTTGTCACCAGAGCGATGAGGGAAGCACGGGGCTCAGAGGACAGCTGGTGCAGCCCGGGCAGCGTGGAGTGGGTGGCAGGAGGTTCCTATAGGAATACACTCCTTGTTCTGTGACATTGGTTACCATGTTTAGCACACGTCAGCTTTCTCATTGCGCCCACCCTGTTCTGCTTCCGCTGTTCACCCAGCCTGTCTTCCCCTTCCTGTCTTCTCCTCTTTGCTTCTGGGTCAATGCTGCCTGCTGGGTGTCCGAGCGTGACTTGTTTAAGGGAGCCTTAAACAAGGCGCATGCGTGATCCTGAGTCTTTAGTGAGCCCATCTATTTGCCTGGAAAGTGACCTGCAGAAATAGCTTCAAGTTCAAGTTCAAAGGGTATTTTAGAGCAAGAGTCTCTAGGGTTCCTCTCAGCTCTCGGTGGTCCGAGGAGAGCATTTTTAAGCCCATCTCTTTCCTCTTGTATTTTCCTCTCAGCAGCAAGGAAACACCCTGCAGCCCCGTTAAGATCTTGCTCGAAGATCTCAGACAGATATCCGGCTCCTTTCTTCCACGTCGTGCCTTCTACCAAATGTGCAGGCATAGTTCCGACGCGCTCTTTGCCACTGCATGTGAAGCAGCACCCTCCCTCCTTGGTCTGATCGCATGTCCATCCTTGTAAAGGCTCACCAGAAGCACATGGGACACCCGTGCTGCTGGCAGCATTCTGCAGCTCATGCCTTCCTGTGCTCGCAGGCAATAGAGACGTTCTCTGCAATTCTCACTTCCTCCTGAGTCCTCCCCAGAATTGTGGTTGGCGTGCACAATTCTACCCACAGTCTCTTCAAGGCAACCTAGGCTTTACCTATTAAAAACTCACTGCTATCCAGTGGACTCTGACTCCGTGACCCTATAGAATAAGGTAGAACTGCCCTGTAGGGCTACACAGGCCATCATCTTTACAGAACCATGTCGCCTCATCTTCTCGCGTGAACCAGCTTGTAGGTTCAAACTGCCACCCTTTCAGTTAGCACCCAAGCACTTAACACCGAGCCACCAGGCCCCTTAAAACTTTTCCAGTGTCTACTCGGTACCCAGCTCCAAAACGGCTTCCACATTTGCGCTGTAGAACAGCACCCCACTCCCAGTACCAAATTCTTAGTTCTGTTGTGTTGCCAAAGCAGAAATGCCACAAGTGGGTGGCCTGACCCAGAGGAAACGCATTTTCTCATGGATTAGGGAGCTAGAAGGCTGAATTCCGGGCACCAGCTCCAGGGCAAGACTGTCTCTCTTTCAGCGCTACCAGAAGGTCCCCGTCATGGCATCCTCTGGTCCTGGACAATCCTTGCATCCGGTTGCATCTCTCATTCCTCACCTGGCTTCTTTCCCTTACTGGGTTAATCCCCTTTACATCTCAAAAGAGATGAACTCAGGGCACACCCTACATTAAGCATGCCTCATGAACATAACAAAGACAACATCTTCACAAATGAGATTAGAACCACAGGCCTGGAGGTTCAGATTTTTGACACATACTTTTTGAGGGGAAACAATTCACTCTAACAGGGAAGAGGGAGGGATGTGAGAAGACTGGGGCAGAAAAGGAGGGGGCACTAAGGGACAGAGGGGTGGGGGGGAGCCAAGAGGTTGAGCAGGAGGAGACAGAGAAGCCCGACAAGCGGGGAGACAGGTGCAGGGACCTAAGCTACCATATTAGACAGTGTGAATGTTGACCATTCCCATGGCAGCACAGAGCTCGATTGGACAGCACCCGCCACTGCCCACACAGATATGGGGCACTCTCGACCAGGAGCTACAGTTGAGAAGACTGCCACTCTTGGGGTGGGCAGCCTGGGGTGCCCCCTGGCCCCCCAGACCTCACCCTGCATGGAAGGTTGAGAAAATAGCTGAAAGCCCAAATCCAGGAGAAACGGGCTGCGTTGCAGACCCAGGGGACCAGGGGTACCTCTTGTCATCTGGGGACCACCAGACCACTACACCCTGGCTCGGCTCTGCCCTCCACAGGTCAAGGAGCTGGGCGTGGTCATGTACAACTGCAGCTGCCTGGCTCGAGACCTGACCAAGATCTTTGAGGCCTACTGGTTCCTGGGCCAGGCAGGCAGCTCCATCCCGTCCACCTGGCCGAGGGTCTATGACACACGCTACAACCAAGAGACACCAATGGAGATCTGCCTCAACGGGACCCCTGCCCTGGCCTACCTGGCGGTGAGTCTGGGGAGGGGGCATGGCCACCCCCCATTCATGGCTCATGCCCTCATCTGGCCTGGCTGAGTGGCCTGGGCGAGTGGGGGGGGGGTCGGAACCCTGACCACTGACTGTCGGCCCCTAGTACTGTGTTTGATCAGGGCTCCGGACAATAAATGCCCCAGCCTCCTTGGGTCTTGCTTTCAGCTAGAAAGCGGGGCTCTCTGATGGTCACGACCTTCTCGGCTTGCTGCACGGGGTCAGCTAGGTTCATGGCCATCTGTGGAGTCGTTGGTCTGGCTCAGCACCGCCCAGCATCGCAGACTCTCAGTTCAAGCGCTAGATTTCATTTGCATGCCAGAAGATGGAAGAATTCAGTTCTTCACACGTACCCCTTGGGATAATCAACCAGTTGAGCTCCAAAGGACAGCTTCGTCCAAGGTCAAGGTTCAGAAGGGCTAGGGACAGAGGAAAGAAAACAGGAAATAGGCAGGGAAGGGGATAAAACCAGTTCCTCATTTATTTGCATCAGCCACTTTTTCACGTGACTCAGCGCAGCACACTGCCTTTGATGTAGAAAGTGCCCCGCTGCGATGGCTGCAGGGATTGAGGACGGTAGACAGGGAACTACTGGTGGGAGCTGCGAATATTTTCACGTCTGTAGTGGGCAGTCTCAGTACCTCTTGGTCCCCAGGACTCTGGACCTCATCCTGGGTGGAAGGTTGATGGTATAAATAAAAGCCCAGATAGAGAATTTTCATTTTAGCCTCTGGGTCGATTTGCTGTGATGCAACAAATAACGGATAGACGTACTTCCATTCTTCACACGTCTACTTTTAGGGAATGCTGTCCTGTAATCTGGGCTTTCTCTCGTCTCGGCTGCCTCTCTCATCCCTGCCCGGGGGAGGAGTGTGACTCGGGGCCACGGAGAGGTTGGGAAGAAACCCAGTCAGCAAGTGTGGCTCAGCTACTGCTCCATCTCTGCCACTTCTTAGCTGGATCACAGCCCCGCTGTGTCTGCGTCCTTGTGTATAAATGATGACAACAGCTTTACCTACCAGGGTGGTTAAATGAACAGGTTACCCGGGACCCAATAATCCCGGTTATTATTGACCTGTTCATGACATTAACCTTATTAGTTTACAAAAAGACAAAAGGGCAGCTAGGCCCGTACTGGCCACTGCGGGTTACTTTCACGGGACGAGGCATTTAACAAGCCCTGTCTGTGGGTTAGTGTAACTGGGAGCTAACCAAAAGGTTGGGAGTTTGAATCTACTTGGAGATACGGCAGAAGAAAGGCCTGGTGATTGGCCGCTGAAAACCCAGCCATTGAAAATCCTGTGAGCACAGTTCACCTTGGGCACACAGGGGTCACCATGCATAGGACTTGACTGGGTGGAGCTGACTATATATATTGCATATTCTGTAGTTGGGTGGGGGAGGTTCTCAAAACCCACTGCCATGGGGCTAATACTGACTCATAATGACCCTACAGGACAGGGTAGAATTTCCCCTGTGGGTTTCTGAGCCTGTAACTCTTTTTGGGAGAAGAAAGTCCCATCATTCTCCCAAGGAGCGGCTGGTGGTTTCGAACTGCTGACCTTGCAGTTAGCAGCCCAACGCATAACCACTACTCCGCTGATACTGTATGGGGCTCCCCAAAGGCCAACAGACATCAACTGGCCCACATTATTCACAGACAGGGCTTGTTAAATGCCTCGTCCCGTGAAAGTAACCCGCAGTGGCCAGTACGGGCCTAGCTGCCCTTTTGTCTTTTTGTAAACTAATAAGGTTAATGTCATGAACAGGTCAATAATAACCGGGATTATTGGGTCCCGGGTAACCTGTTCATTTAACCACCCTGGTAGGTAAAGCTGTTGTCATCATTTATACACAAGGACGCAGACACAGCGGGGCTGTGATCCAGCTAAGAAGTGGCAGAGATGGAGCAGTAGCTGAGCCACACTTGCTGACTGGGTTTCTTCCCAACCTCTCCGTGGCCCCGAGTCACACTCCTCCCCCGGGCAGGGATGAGAGAGGCAGCCGAGACGAGAGAAAGCCCAGATTACAGGACAGCATTCCCTAAAAGTAGACGTGTGAAGAATGGAAGTACGTCTATCCGTTATTTGTTGCATCACAGCAAATCGACCCAGAATGTGCTGGCTTAGGACAAAAATGACTTTATTTGTTCCCAGTTCTGTGGGTCAGCCCTTTGGGCTAGGGTCAGCAGGGCGGTTCGTCTGCTCCCACTTGGGTCACTCATGTGGTTCTAGTCCTCTGTCCGTAGCAGGCAGATATTTGCATGTGAGGGGCATGCAGTGCTTGTTGCGTTCATGTTCTGAAGTTGGGTGGAGGGACTGCCTCGTCTGGGCTTGGCTGCTCTGACAGGGCCTCACTGCGTGACCAGTACTGGCGCTGGCTGTTGGCTGAGCCACACATCTCCAGCAGGCAGCACTGGCTGTTTCATGTGACAGCTGGGTGCTAGCAACGCCTACGCCAATGCATACATGTTTTTCAAGTCTCTGCTTGTAGCACACCCACTTGCTGATGCGCATTGGCCAGAGCTAGTCCCACGGCCCCGGCCCAGCATCCTGGTGGAAGGCCCCGGCACCAAGGTGTGAGCATGGGGAAGCATAACTCACTGGGGACTGCACATAGCCATCCCGGCACCACAGGGAAGTAAGATCCCAAGACCACTTCCTTTTCAGAGTTTCTGTTTCCTCCTCTGAGAACAGGGATCAGCAGCAATGCCCTTTACCCCACAGGCTCTTGTAGGGACGGAGGGACCTGGAGAAGGGGTTTGGCGCTGATGGGCACCTGAGGCATGCCCAGTGAAGGGGACGGGCTTTGAGGCATTCAGGGAAGCAAAGTGAAGAAAGAGAGCCAGCCTGGAGTGTGCCTTAGTGAACCACCCAATTATCACCAAAGGAGGAGTGCAGTGAGGCCCAAGAATTTGCATTTCAAACACGTTCCCAGGTCAGGCTGCTGGGGCTGCTGCTGGACTCGGGCCATGTGCCAGAACCACCTGCTTAGTCAGGCCAGAGCGTCTGGAACCTGCCAGCCGGGTTCTCATCCCGGCTCCCTTTACCAGCTTGTGACCTGAGGCTTACCTCACTGAAACCTACCTTGTCTTGGGCCATCAGCCACATGTGCTAACTGCCCCACCCCTTCATGGGGCCTGAGGATGCTGAGATCCAGGGGACCCAGCTCCAGACGGGGCCGTCCCAACACGGGACCCCCCCGGGGGTAGGTAGCGTCCTTGTCAGGGCACGTGCCTTGACCACACCCTCTTGCCCCCAGAGTGCACCCCCACCACTTTGTCCAAGTGGCCGCACCCCAGACCTGAAGGCTCTACTCAATGTGGTGGACAATGCTCGGAGTTTCATCTACATCGCGGTCATGAACTACTTGCCCACCATGGAGTTCTCCCGCCCACGCAGGTTCGGGGGCGGGCCCTGGGGCGGAGAGGGAGGGAGAGGAGGAATGAGGCTCAGGAAACAGGGGAGGCGAAGGAGCAGGTGGAGGGGAGGGGAGGCCCAGGAAGAGGCCGAGGGGGGGGGTTCCTGGGCGATTGAGATGGCTTCGTGGTGGGTTCAGAGGAGAGGCTGGGCTTTGGGAGCTGGGGGCTCGGGATGAGACTTTGGGGGGGTTCCAGAACAGGTGGGAAGCAGGAACCTGGTGCTTGGCGGACAAGATGGGCCAAGAGTATGAGGGTTGGGGAATTTCCCATCGGGATGGGGAGGAAGGGCTGGGGGCTAGGGAGGAGGATGAGGAAGATGGCTTTGGGACTGCAGGACATGGGGGGGGGCAGTGAGCAAGACAGAGGGAGGGTCGAGATGAGGAAGACGGAAGCGGTGTGGGTAGAAGGTGGGATTGAAGGCGCTGGAAGCAGGGAATTGGAGATGGGGGGGCTTGGGGACTCTCAGAAGCTGAGCAGGGCTCAGCCTCAGCCGAAAGGGTGAAGGGGGCATCACTCCACCCACCCCCTCCGCCGCTCCAGGTTCTGGCCGGCCATCGATGATGGGCTGAGGCGGGCCTCCTACGAGCACGGCGTCAAGGTCCGACTGCTGGTCAGCTGCTGGGGCCACTCGGATCCGTCCATGCGGGCCTTCCTGCTCTCCCTGGCCGCCCTGCGGGACAACCACACCCACTCCGACATCCAAGTGGTAAGTACCACGCTCAGCCCCTGCGGGGGCAGGATAGCACACTGCTGGCACAAACCTGCCCTGCCCCCTGGCAGGGAACAGCCCCAGCGAGCCTGGTCATCAAGGGGCAGAAGGAGTTGGAGCAGCAACCAAGACAAATCAACAGAAGAATTGACTGCCCTCTACCTGTGGGACAGGGTAGCCTGCCCCTGTGAGTTCCCAAGGGAGAGCACAAAGCCTCCACTTTCTCCCTGGGAGCAGCTGGTGGTTTCGAACTGCTGACCTGGTGGTTAGCAATCCAGCACATTACCACTGTGCCACCAGAGGGCCTGTGGGCAGTGACCTGCCCAACCTCACCTGCCTGAGCCTGAGAAGGTGTGAGGTGCGGGCCTGCAGGCGAACCGGAGCCGCTGCCGAGGGCAAGGGACCCCGCTCTCAGCCAGTGGTTCCCGGGGACCCTCTGTCAGGCGGTCCTGTGGGCCAGCAGCTGAGTCTCCACTACCTTGACACTGGGGCGTCTCCCAACCCACCCAGGGTCTCACACTCCTTCCCCTCCACCCACCCCAGAAACTCTTTGTGGTCCCAGCGGATCAGGCCCAGGCCCGCATTCCGTATGCCCGGGTCAATCACAACAAGTACATGGTGACTGAACGTGCTGCCTACATCGGTGAGTGACCCTCGGGCTGCCTGGGGTAGAGGGGGACAGAGCGAGGGCTCTGGACGCCCAGCCTGGGTGCCCCCATGGGCCCTGACCTTGCCCCATTCCCTGCCCCACAGGAACGTCCAACTGGTCCGGCAGCTACTTCCTAGATACGGCGGGCACCTCACTGCTGGTGACCCAGAACGGGCGGGGGTGCCTCCGGAGCCAGCTGGAGGCCGTGTTCATGCGGGACTGGGACTCCCCTTACAGCCATGACCTGGACACGTCTGCTGATAGCGTGGGCAACGCCTGCCGCCTGCTCTGAGGCCTGGGCCGGTGGACAGGCTGAAGCCATCATGGCCTTTGTGGACCCGAGTCCCTGTCCCCATGCCCCCGCTTCTGTCTGCCCCTTTGTGGCCCCTGCAGGCTCCCCTCTGCTGCCCCACCTCTACCTCCGCTCCCACGGCCCACGCTGTGGCCCTGGGACCCAGCAGAGCTGGGGGAGGGATCAGACCCCAAAGAAGTGGGGATGCATGCTGGGCCCAGCCCCTGGCCCACCCCCTTTCCAGGGCGAGGAGGGTCCCTGGTTATAATATTAAATAATTTGTCTGTACAGTGGGGCCTCAGTGTGTGTTGGTGACAGGCAGGGGTCAGGGGTGACACTCAGGGAGAGCTACTGGGGGCCTCTGGTAGAGACAGCTCAGTGTGCCTTGGGTGTGGCCGGGTGGGCAGACCCACGCTAGGCCCTAAACACACGGCCTACATGGCCCGGCATGTGCTAATCCTTCAACCTTCAATCCACACAGCCTGTTGTGAGCCTGTCGTGTACGAAGGCCTCCACACGTGTCCCACATGCGTGTGCTCAACCTTCAGCATCTAGGTTAAGCCCTCACGTGTGATCCGCGTGGCCTGGTGTGCGCGGAGCCAGGATTGGGGACCCTCACAGAGGGTGTTCTCGCGGGGTAGCCAGTGTAGGTCAGTGTGTGTTGCCTATACCGTGAGGCCCAAGCCATATCCTGGGGTGGGCTAGTGTGTGCTGAATGTGGAGCACGCACCGGGCACGCTTGTGAGCTTGTCACCCTGCGTCTGCGCACAAGTGATTGCCCAGCAAGTCCCCAGCACGGAGCACAGGCGGTATGCCTGACAACAGGCTCGAGCCATGGGCACGTACAATGTCTTGCCAGAATGACTCTGGTCTAGACACGGATCGAGGAGAATGGCTAGTGTGTGCCGAGCCATGGGCACGTACAATGTCTTGCCGGAATGACTCTGGCCTAGACACGGATCGAGGAGAATGGCTAGTGTGTGCTGAGCTTAGTCTTGGCCTTCAGTGTCATCCACGACGGGCCAGTGGTGCCAGGGCCCTGGACACCCAGGACAGGGCAGGGAAGACGCTATGAGGCAGGACTGCTAAACAGTTCTTTATTGAAACAGGCAGAGGCAGCCCGGCAAGGGCCTGCTTGGGGCAAGCAGGGGCAGCCTCCTCCCTGCGTCCCTCTGGCCGAAGAGGCCACAGGCCTGACCCGAGGCCTTCCGGAGTGGCGGGGTATGTGGAGGCACGTGCCGTGGGCAAGAGGCACAGGGAGTTTCCGGATAACTAACTTTCTGGAAGAATAATTTGTGAATTCTGGGGGTGACTCTGAGGACAGTGTGGGTTGAGAGGGGAACGCTGCCCCAGCCAGTGCCGCCCCTGTGATGGGCAGGGGTGGGGTCACCCTCAATGGTGCCCGCCAACGTGCTGTAGAAAACTGGTTGCCCGGGGGTGGCGGGCTGGCAGGCCCTGAGCCCGTGGCACCCTGACACCCTCCAGGCTCCAGTCCGGGTCACTCAGCCACTCCTCAGGACAGCTGCTGGCGTCAAAGAGCTCTGCGACCGGCCTCTGGGGAGGAGAAGGGAGGGCATCAGCTCCCCTTCCCAGCCCACTCTGGGTCCTCTCCTGAGGATGGTTTTATATGTTTGGAACCCTCATTGCCTCCTGGGGTGAACTAGTGTGTGCTGAGACCGTGATGTGTCCTGGGGTTTGGTGAGTGTGTGCTGAGCCTTGTCATATCCTTACAGTGTAGGTGTGTGCTGAGCCTTTAGTCCTGAGTGTGGGATAGTGTGTGCTGAGCTTTAACCCTGAGTGGGATAGTGTGTGCTGAGCCTTAGTCCTGAGTGTGGGATAGTGTGTGCTGAGCTTTAACCCTGAGTGGGCTAGTGTGTGCTGAGCCTTTAGTCCTGAGTGTGGGATAGTGTGTGCTGAGCCTTAGTCCTGAGTGTGGGATAGTGTGTGCTGAGCCTTAGTCCTTAGAGGGGCTTAGTATGAGCTGAGTCTCTGCACATCCTGAATATGGGTTAGTGTGTTAGCCCTGAGCCAGCAGCTAGTACAATGGAGGTGAGAGACAAGGCTTACTTAACAGTGTCCCCCTTCCTGGGACACTGAGGGAGACACCCGGCTGGCCACCTGGCATACCTCCGCGTCCATGGCCAGCTCCTTGATGGTGGGCCCATCGCCGTCCCGCTGCGGGATGGTGGGCGGCTCGGCGGAGGTCCCTCGGTGCTCACCCTCCTCCCAGCCACCACCCCGGCAGGGCGCCTCATCCTCGGGCGAGGCGTGGCTCAGCCGGATGAGGTTGCTGAAGTTGGAGTCGGACTTGGAGCCTGCGGGCAGCTTGCGGGCCTTGTGGCGGCCTGCCAGCCGGCTGCCATAAAAAGCCAGGATGGGCTCAGGCCCTGAGTCGGGCACCCGCCGCCCAGGGCCAGCTGCCTTGAGCGGGGCCAGCACATCAGAGACCACGTCCACGCGGCTCTCGCCCCACAGCCCCCGGCCAGGCTCCTGCAGGCTCAGGTCGTCCAGCTGGTCGATGGCCCTTTGCACGCCCGGTGCCTTCTCCTCACAGAAGAAGGGCCCGCTGCCCGACGCGCTGCCCAGGCCCACGACCGCCGCCACCGCCTCCTCCTCCTCCTCGGCTAGTGGGTAGAAGGGGGGCCCATCGGCCCCGGTGGCCCCGGCGGGAGCCGGCAGCTTGCCCTCCACCTGCAGCGAGAGCCGGTAGCTGCGTAGCGAGAGCTGGTAGTAGCGCGTGGCCTCGTGGGCGCTGCGCAGCTGCTGCATGGACACGAAAGGGTGGCACAGGGCTGCGCTGGGGCTGATGCGTTCGTGCGACTCCCACGTCAGCATGCGCTTGATCAGCTCCACCATGCTCCTCAGGTCTGCGTGCTCGGCCAGCGCCTCCCGGTCTGGGAAGGTCAGCCGGCTGGCCGTCACGCCGCCGTTCACCGTCTCGATCTGGTCCAGCGACTTCAGCATGTACTTGCGGCGTTCCAGCGGGCGCACCTGACGGGGCACAGGGGGGCCTGGGATTGCCACCTCCTCCCTTCCTGCTGGGGTCCCCCACAGGGGACCCCCTGCCCGCCACACTGGACCCTAAGCTCTCTTGCCATCATGAAGCCTGTATACTTTTGGTCCTCCTGTGGCCTAGCCCTGGGTTACATGCTGGTCTGCAAACCACTAGGTCAGCAGTTCGAAACCACCAATCGCTTCTCAGGGTAAAGAGGAGGCTTGCACTCCCGTAGAGAGGCATAGTCTTAGAAACCTACAGGGACGATCCTACAGGGTCGCTTTGAGTTGGCCTCCATTCAATGGCAGTGAGCCTGGTGTTTTGGTGGGCTAGCCCAAGGAGCCCTGGTGGCGTAGTGGGTTACATGTTGGGCTGCTAGCCACAAGGTCAGCAGTTCTAAACCACCAGCCGCTCCTTGGGAGAAAGAGGAGGCTTTCTGCTCCTGGAAAGATTGACCACCTCGGAAACATACAGGGAGTGCTCTACTCTGCCGGTAGGGTGACTCTGTGTCGGAATCCAGTTGATGGTGGGGAATGTGGTTTCGGTTAGCGCTCCCTGGTTGGGACAGAGTCCACACACCTGATCTGCCCTGGATCTGCCTTGGAGCGGGGAGGGCCATGCCTCTCTAGTCTAAGCCGGAGCCCTGCTGCTGCAGGACGCAAGAGCACCGGGCCGTTCTTCAGCCTTCCAGTGGTGTCTCCCAGGCCCCTCTCTCACTGACCTCTCACCAGACCCCTCCCCAGAGCCCCTGCCAGCAGTGAGTGGAGGGCTGCCCCAAACGCCTGGAGGAGTCCAGTCCAGTTCCCTTTTGGCTATGGTGCCCCTGATCCCAGAGCTCCCAGACCTGGGCCTGAGGCCACCCTCAGGCCCTTGTTGCTGCACTTGAGAGTGATACAGAGCAGCTGCCCGCCCCACCCCCACCCCCACCGGTCTTCCCTGCTGTCTAACTCAGAGCCCTCCTGCTGCATACGTGTGATGACAGCAGCCATGATGGTAGCAGAGATGCTGCCTTAAACCTCCACTCCCATCTGGGGTCTCATTCGGATCCCATTTCTATGGCAGTTCTCACACTCCGCCTGCGCCCGCACTGTATCTCTGGGGTGAGACCCAGATCCCTCTGATGCCAAGTCCCAAAAGCCCACTGCCACCAGGTCCACTCAGATTCAGAGCCACCCTCTGTAGCATTTCCAAGGTGGTATGTCTTTCTGGAAACAGATAGCCTAGCCTCTCTCCCGAGGAGCGGCTAGTGGGTTTGAACCACTGACCTGCAGCTATCAGTCTGCTTCCCCGACGGCACCACCAGGGCTCTTGGCTACGGTGGCCCCTATGATAAGGTGACCAGATTTTAACATTGGTAAAGCGGGACACCATTGATAAAACTCATATCCTGGCGAAATAGCCATATGGTAGCAGAAAACCGTATACCCTAGCTTATCGTGCATTCTTTCCAAAAATGGGGACTTGTTCAAAAAGCCGCGGGACGCAGGAAAAATGGTTAAAAATCAGGACGGTCCCGCCCAAAGCGGGACGTCTGGTCACCTTACCCTATGGGGGAGGTCCCCCTCTCCACCTGACCCCCTAGTCCCTGAAGTCTCACTCAGATCTGTCTTGCTAAAACAGACCCTGGGCTGAGCCTCAAATCTGCAGCCCCTCTTTCCATCCCACCTAGCTCTCTCGGAAACCCACAGGGGCAGGCCCACCCTATCCTGTAGGGTCGCTGTGGTCAGAATTGGCTCGATGGCAGGGAGGGAGTGAGCAGGCTCTCTCTGGCTGTGACGGCCCCTACCGCTGACCTCTACCCACCCCACCCCCAGCCTCCCGTCCTCCCAGAGGTTTTTCTCCAGGTGGCAGCCCCCACCATGCTGACTGCCTTCACCCCACCTTCCTCCCTACCTTGGTCTCTGCCAGGTAGTCAGCGGAGGACTTGAGCTGCCAGGGGCTGGTGGCATCGGGGTGGGGGTTGCGCTTGAAGAAGTGGTGGGCCTTTCGGGCGGCGTGCAGCAGGTGGGCCTTGGGCAGGCCCTGGGTCTCGCAGATGTAGCGCACCTGGTCGTACTCGTTGTTGCCGGGATAGAGGGGCCAGCCGAGGTGCAGCTCGGCCATCACGCAGCCCAGGGACCACACGTCCACCTTCTCGCAGAAGGGCAGCCCTAGCAGGATCTCGGGGGCCCGGTAGAAGCGGGACTGGATGTAGGGCTCTTTCACGTAGCGCACCTCACTGAAGATGCTGGCCGAGCCGAAATCGATCACCTGTGGGTGGGCCATGGGGCAGTCAGACATCCGGGCCGCCCTGCTCTCTCTCACCAATGTCCTCCTGCACCTGCCGCTTGCCTCAGTCTGTTTCTGAGTCTCTCTCTGTCTCCTCTGACCTCTGTCTTGTGTCTTATGCCTCCGTACGAGGAAGGTCAGCCAGGGCTCCCTCTCTCACCTCACGCCCTGTCTGTCCATTCACAAATCTGACTGGCCCCAGTCGACGCCTCACCTGACCCACAGGTCTGGTTCCTGCCACCAGGGTCCTCCTGCCTACACGAATGGGAGGGGGCTGTCTCCCCGCCCCCAGTCAATCCTGTGCACACAACTGGAGTGAGCTAGCGTGCCCCTCACAGCTCGGCCTTCCCTGCTCAGCCCCTCTCATGACTTTAAGCACCTCTGGCGATCAACACCAAGGGCCCTGGTGGTGCTGCAGGTTAGGCATTGGGCAGTCAGTCGCAGGATCACTGCTCAGACAAAAGAGGGAACTGCCTGCTCCGTAAGGACGGACCTTTTAGAGGACCGCTCCGAGTCAGCAGGGACTCGGTGGCAGTGGGTGGGGTGGTGACTTAAGCCAAGGCCCCACCCCTGCCCTGCTCCACCAGAGCTAGAGCCTGGGAAACTGCCAATCAGAATGAGCAAATGTTTATCAAACCAAAGGCAAGCGCACTGGCCTCCAATTGGTTCTGGCTCAGAGCAGCCCTCCAGGGAGTTTCTGAGAAGAAATATTTAACGGAAAGCAAACAGCCTCATCTTTCTCTCCACGGAGCAGCGGGTGGGTTTGAACCGCCAACCTCTTGGTTAGCAGCCTGATGAGTAACCTACAGCGCCACTGGGGCTCCTTCCTCTAGTCATAATGTTCCCAACAGAGGAAACAGTGCTGGCGCCTCTCAGGGATGGAGCGAGGTGTTCATGAATGAGTGAGAGCGTGACCAGTGAGTGCGGAGTGTGTACCCTGTGAGTCTCGTCTTTCTCTTGTTTATATCACTCTCTTGCTCGTTCTTTGCCACTGCCTCTTCGAGTCTCTGGCAGACAGCGAGCTCCCCCATCTCCACCCTCTAGACGGCTCAGTGCCCTGGAAGCCCAGGTCCTGTCGTCACTGCCCAGCTGGGCGGCACCTGAGTGATTGGAAGCCTTTATGCCTCCCTCCCTCCCCACTGCACCCCTGGTCCCCGTCTCCTCTTTCCATCCAGCCTCCCTCCCTCCGCGTCCATTTGTGGGAGGTAGTAGGATAGGCTCTGAGGCTGGACTTCTGGGGCTGCAGTCCTGGGGGCCGCTGAGTGACCTCCAGGTGCCCAGCATTTGCTCTTTCCACAAACGCAGCAGCAGCAGCAGCAGCCATGGCTCAGCCCTGTCTCTTCTATCTCCCGGACAGAGCCCTCTGTCTCTTTCTGACAGATGTCCATTCTGCACTGACTGCAGGCCCACACCAGGAGGTATGGGGGGGTGGGGGTGGCAGTGCCCGAGATGGCCGGCCCCCAGCCTGCCCTCAGGATGCTCCTAGTTCACACCAGCACCCCCGCCCCCTGCCAACGACGACACAGACCTCTTAGCAGAAGGAGGGTCCCGGCAGAACCAAGGGAGACGTGGGGTGACTGGGAAGAGGGGGGCCCAGCGTGGGTGGGGACAGTCAGGGAGGTCTTGTGGAGGAGGTGGTCTTCGAGGAAGATCCTGGGGGAGGGGGTGTGGGCAGCAGGAGCAGGCTGACTAGCAAAGGCCTGGCGGTGGAAGTGCCCGGTGCCCAAAGCAGAGGGCCCTGACTGTCCCACCCCCTCCTCCTTCCCTGCTGCTTTTGTCTCCTTCTTCCACAGCCGTGGCTCTCTGCCCTCCAGCCAATTCTGACTCGCGGTGACCCTATCAGTCTGCCTGGAACGGCCCCTGTGGGTTTCTGAGACTGTCGATCTTTACAGGAGCAGACGGCCTCCTCTCTCTCCTGAGGAGTAGCGGGAGGTCCAGATGGCTGACCTCGTGTGGCTCCCAGGGCAGCACATCACCACTGCACCCCGGGGCTCCTCTCCCACGTCACAGCAGACTCCTTCCTCTTGGGAACTCTGGACCGTCCGTCCCATGGGGAAGACTAGGCCAGAGGGGCCGAGACTGGACGGAGACAAGGACAGAGAGTCCAGGGGGCCAGGACAGAGTGCAACGGGGGGTGATGGAAAATGAGGAGCGTTGGGAAGACCCGGAGTTGGGGCAAGGAAGCCCCCTCTCTCCCTCCCCGGCCCTCCCCCCAGTGCTAGGAGACGGCCAGGAGTGGGCAGCTAGGAGGGGCCCGGAGGAGGGGCTCACCTTGACCCTGAAGGGACAGCGGGTCTGGTCCACCAACATGATGTTCTCGGGCTTGAGGTCGGCGTGGATGATGGCCAGCTCCTTGAGGCGGGCCAGGGCTCGGAGGACCTGCAGGGTGACGGTCCGGATGTGGCGGGCAGGGAGGGGCGCGAAGTTGTTCTCCTTCTGGAACTCGAAGAGGTTCTGCTCCAGCAACTCGAAGACCAGGTAGAACTTGAGGGCGTCGTGGAAGAACTCGAGGAAGCGGATGACGTGGGCCTCCTCGGGGTCCAGGCCCCGCATGCAGCCCAGCAGCTTCAGCTCGTTCTTGATGATGCGGTTCCGGTAGGCGTCGTTCTTCAGGATCTTGATGGCCACCATCTCGCCCGTGCTCCGGCGCCAGCCCTTGGCCACCTCCCCGAAGGTGCCCTTGCCCAGGACCTCGATGATGTCATAGCAGTCGGTCTCGGACTGGATGGTGGCCATGGTGTCCCGGAGGCCGGCCCCTGCCCTGCCGCTGACCCCCCACAACGGGCTCTGTCGCCTAGGCCTCCTGCCCCGTCGCCCCCACTGCCGCCGCCGCCACCGCTGCCTCAGCTGGCCCCAAGGCCCCCCCAGCGGGGGGAATAGAACGGCGCTCGTGCCTCCTCGTGGGAAGTTCGCCCCCACCTCCCTGGCAGCCCCCTACCCCCTCGGCCACACGGCGAGTCTGACAGAGGCCACACCCCTCCCCCGAAGCCCTAGCTTGGGACAAGGGGGCCTGGACCACCCCCTGAATGGGCTCCAGCGTTGCTGAGTGGCTCTGGTTCTGTTGTCGGAGACCTGGCTGGAATGGGGGGCGGGGTGCTGGACCGAGGTCCCCTCCCCCACCCAGTGGCGGAACCCTGGGGAAGCCACCAGGGGAAGGGGTCGATGGAGAGAGGTGGCCAATTGCAGACCTCGGGCATACAGGTAGCAGGGATTGCCTGCAGCCAAGTGAGGACAGGCAGGTTTTCCTGGCTAACGAGGTGCAGGGACAGAGGCCGGGGAGCATCTTTGTATGTTGGTTTGTGCCCCAAAGACACCTGCCGCAGCTAGTGGCCACCATGGTGTGACTGGCAGGGCCAGGCTACACAAGGTCGTACGTGCCAGGCAGAGGCGTCTGGGCTTCATTCCGAGGGCACTGAGGAATCGTGGAAGAGCTCCGAGAGAGGGAGGGCGTGTCAGATAGCCACTCTGTGAAGAAGTTGCAGGGGATGAGAATGCAGACCCCGAGGTGGGAAGGAGGCTGGGGTGGGAGCATGTGGACGAGACATTGGCATACAGGCTGCAGGGACTGGTGGGCTGGGGGCAGGGGTGGGGCGTCATCCAGGACGAGGTGCCGGGCTCCAGTTTGTGTGAAGATTAATTGGTCCGTGATGGTGAGGACCCGGACAAGGCCAGTGTGCAGGTTTAGGAAGACGATGCTGAGATCGGAGTAGGGAACCTAACACCAATACATTTAACCGTACGTCGAATGCGTCCCCAACCAAACTCAACTTCCACGGAGCCTGTAGGACAGAATAGAACTGCTCCTGAGCGCTTCTGAGGCTGCCAGGACTATATACCTCTAGGAGAGCAGAAAGCCTCATCTCTCTCCCGTGGGGTGGCTGGTAGATTCAAACCCCTGACCTTGCAGTTAGCCCAGACTCCTGGAGGTGCTTCACAATGATTCGTGTTGGGTCCTTTTTTACTGGAGCAGACAGCCTCTCCTTTCTCCCTCGGAGAACCTGGTGGGTTTGAACTGCAGACACTGCAGCCAGTAGACCAATGCTTACCAGACAGCGCCACCAGGCCTCTAAGCCTCCCAAACCCAAAGCCACAAGGACAGAGCAGAACTGCCCCTGTGGGCTTCCGAGACAGGAACGGTTCATGGGAGTAGAAATCCTCATCTTGTTCCCTCGACTGAATCCGTGCAGCATATGCAGTAAGTATGAACCAGAAGGGCCTCCTCAGGTTGGATAATCTTAATAGTTCCATGTTATGGAATGGAACATCACTCAGGGAAAACTTTCTCCCGCTCCAAAGGAGCCCTGGTGGTGCTGTGGGTGGGGCACTGGGCTGCAAGGGCAGGCGTTCAAACCCACCAGCAGGCTCAGAGGAGAAAGATGAGGCTGTGTGCTGCTTAAAGTTAGTCTTCGAAACCCTGTATCGGTAGGGTCATCAAGAGTCTCAGTCTGAATTGGCTCGATGGCTGTGGGCAGGGTTTCCCTGTCATGAGTCTAAAAATTACAACCCACCGAGCCTGACCGGCAACTTCGGCATCGATTGTCCTCAAGTAAACCCCATGGAGCAGTTCCACACTGCAGCACACGGGGGCGCCGTGTAGTCAGCAGCGACTCTGGCCGGTGGCCTCCCAGGTGGACTGGGGAGTTGGAAGCTGTCAGAGGTGACTGGTGGAGGCCCCCGGAGGGAGGGGTGTGGCCGTAGAGGGTAGAAGGGAAACAGGAAAGGGAGGGAGGAGAGAATTTTCTGGAAAAGGTATGGGCCCTGAGAGGTCAGGACAGGAGTACTGGGGCCCCAGAGTGGTCTCAGGGGACCCCACCCACCCACCCAGCGCTGGGGCACCTGGAAGGGGTGCTTCATTAGCGGTGATAACGCCGACTGTTTGGTGGGGACCAAGAGAAATTGTGCTGGGGCAGAGGCCTGGGGGGCTTAAGTGGAAGGGAAGCCTGAGTGTGTGTTGGGGAAGGGGGAGGTAGGGGGCTGGGAGTGGTCTGTGATAATTCAAGGGCCTAAGCCCTCATTCCCGGGGATGGAAGAAGCCGTGGGTGAGGACAGAGATTTGAAGACAGTGGGAAGGGCAGATGTGAGGAAGTGGGGGGATAGGTGTGGCTTGGCTCTGACCCGCCCTGAGGGCCCCAGTGCCCAAATCAAATCGCAGGAGACAGCTCTGAGCAGGGACAGCGGGACCTTCCTGGGCGGGGCCTGCATTGGGCACCCAAACCAGCCAGACTGGAAGGGGAGGGGCAGGCCACGCCCTTGGTGGCGGGGAGGCACCAGGATGAGGCCGTGGGTGGGGAAGACCGTCCCCAAGACAGTAAGCCTCCCCTGGACGGGTGGATCCCCCACCAGGGGGGAGGGTCCCACAGGGGCTGGGACAGCCCCACCACACCTGTGCCTGCCTCCAAGGTCTCCCCAAATCTCAGACCAAAGGTGGCCCATGTCTCCCTTGCCCCGGAGGCTCCCCTCTAGCCAGCCTTGAGTGCACCCTCAAACTTCCCCTCTGGGATTCCACCCTCCTTGTCCATCACACGTGCACACCCACACGTACACACACAGAGGAGAGGCTGGGACATGAGCTACTACTTCTAGGATTACTTTATTCACGAGGCAAGGCCGAGCTGCAGCACGCATGCCCCTGCAGGCCCTGCCCTGGTCAGTCGCCCCACCTCCCGCCCTGGTCAGGGTTAGTGCTAGTTATTTCACATAGAGGACAGATTGGGGGAATGGGGTGGGAGTGGGGGGAAACAAGGTGGGTCTCCTCTGCCAGGAGCTTCAGACGGCCGCGGCCTGGGCCCCCTCCATCCTGGCGGGGCCTGGAGCCCCTGTCTCTGAGAACCCCACACTGGGCAGGCGGACTCTGAAGCCACCCTCCTCCTGGTCCCGGCTCTGGGCCTTGGGGCTGAGGGACACCCGGGGGAATCGGAACTTGGGTGACTTCTGTCCACCAGGGGACTTGAGGGAGGCCTCGCCCTCCTGCCCTCTAGAGGCCTTGGAGGGGCCGGCCAGGCCAACCCGGGGCAGGCGGACCCGGCCTCGGCCTCGGCGGCCTGAGGCCCCCTCCCCACCACCCTCTTCCTCCTCTTCCTCTTCCTCCTCGGGGCTGGGGGAGCCCTCCCTGGCGGCCGCCTCGCCCTGGCTGAAGCCCACACGGGGCAGCCTGAGTTTGGGACTCTTGACCCTTGCGCCCTCCTCGCCAGCCTCCTTGCCTCTGGCCAAGCCAAACCGGGGCAGTCGCACCTTGAGTTTGTGCCCGGTGTCGCCCTCGCCCTCTGCCACCTGGTACTCGTCGTGGCTGCCCACGGCGGGTGGCCAGAGCTCCACCTCAGGCAGGGACAGGCGGAAGGTGCGCTCGGCCCCTGCGGAGTGCTCCTCCGCCCCCTCGGCCCCCAGCCCGGCTCCAGCCCCCAACGTGGACATCTTCAGCCTCAGCCCGCCCTCACCCGAGGCCACCTCGCCCACCTGGGCCTCTCGGCTCAGCCCCACGTCCAGCTCTAGCTGGGGCACGGTCACAGAGGGCATCTTGAACACGCCCTCGCCCACAAACAGCTCACCACTGGCCATCTGAGCGCCAGGCAGGGACAGGGCCACCTGGGGTACCTGGACCCTGTAGCCTGGCGTGCCCTCTGGCCCCTCGATCTGCTGCCCCGAAGTGGCACCCAGCCCTGCCTCCCCAAAGCCAGTCAGCTCCACCTGGGGCAGGGAGACGCCCAGCGGGGACATCCTCAGTGCCCCCTCCTGGCCCTCTGTGACCACCTGCCTGCTGGTGGAGACCTGCAGGCCAGAGAGCCTCACCCCACTCACTGCCACTGCCCCCTCGCCTCGCCCTTCCCCCTCGGCCCCCAGGGAGACCAGCTCCACCTCCGGGAGCTTAAGTTGCCGGGCAGTGGCCTCTAGCTTGTCCCCTGGGCTGACCCGCCCACTCTGAACATCTGCCTCCTTCCCCCGAGCCAGCCCAAAGGAGGGCATTTTCAATTTGGGCATCTTCATCTTCCCATCCCAAGTCCAGCCCTTGGCCTCCAGCTCCGCCGCCCCCGGTTCTAGTTCTGCAGCCTCCACATCACGGCCTCTGACCCCAAACTTGGGCAAGGCAAACCTGGGGCCCCTGAGCTTGACGTCGACGTCGGCCCCTTCCACCTTGACCGAGGGCAGGTGGGCGTCCAGACTGAGCTGGGGGAGGGACAGATCCAGGGCGGGCAGCAGGCCCACCTCTCCTGCCCCTTTGGCCTCGGCCTCTGTCCCAGGCCGAGCCTTGGGGAGGGAGATGGCAAACTTGGACGTTTTGACCTTGGTGGCTAGCGCAGCCCCCTCAGCCTCCCCCTTGGCCACCTTGGCCCCCGAGAGTCCAAACTTGGGCAGGGAGAACTTGGAGGAGGGCTTTCCTTTGGTCTCTGCCACCTCTCGCTGGGCTTGTTCCACGCCCTCCGCTGCAGGCAGCTGGGGAGTGACGATCTCAACTGAGGGCACCCTGAAGCCCACCTCCCCCACCGCGGCTGCCACACCAGGGCCCCGGGTCAGCTCCACTTTCTGTAAGGCGCCTGCTGAGACCTGGCCCTCCAAGCTGAGGGCTCCTGGCAGGTCTATCTCCACCGAGGGCAGAGTGAGGGATGGGGCAACCCCCCGGACCTCGCCGCTCCCTTCCGGCTGCAGACAGGGAAGGGTCACCAACTTCCCTGAGACCTCAGCTCCTGTCTCTACTGCCTTGCCTTGTGGTGGGGAGCCTGGCCTCAACAGCTTGGGCATGGTCATCTTGGGCATTTTAAAGGCAAATTCGGCTGGCTCGGCCGCAGCCGCTTTGAGCTGCACCTCGGGAACCTTGGGCAGCTTCACCTCGGTGGCCTTGGGGAGCCGCACATCCGGGACCTTGGGCACTTGCACTTCTGGCAGCCGCATCTCCGACACCTTCGGCAGCTGCACTTCCAGGAGGGGCACATCGGGCACGGCCATCTCGGGCAGCTTGGGGAGCTTCATCTCCGGGAGTTTCATTTCTGGAACCTTCGGCAGCTGCACCACTGGGAGGTGCACGTCGGGCATGGCCATCTCGGGCAGCTTCATCTCGGGGACTTTGGGCAGCTGCACCTCCAGGAGGGACACATCGGGCACGGCCATCTCGGGCATCTTGGGGAGCTTCATCTCGGGCATCTTCATTTCTGGAACCTTCGGCAGCTGCACCTCCGGGAGGTGCACGTCGGGCACGGCCATCTCGGGCATCTTGGGGAGCTTCATCTCCGGGACTTTGGGCAACTGCACGGCTGGGAGACGCACGTCGGGCACGGCCATCTCGGGCACTTTGGGGAGCTTCATTTCTGGAGCCTTCGGCAGCTGCACCTCCGGCAGTGGCACGTGGGGCATGGCCATCTCGGGCACTTTGATTTCGGACACTTTGGGGAGCTGCACATCCGGAGCCTTGGGCACCTTGACCTCAGGCCCTGACACCCCAATGCCAAAGGAGGGCATCTTGATGGTGGGCAGCTTCAACTTGCTCTCCACTTCAGGGGCAGCGGGCCGGGGCTCCAGGAGAGAGAGCCCAAAGGTGGGCATTCGAAGTCTGGGCCCCTTGGCTCTGGCTTCGGGGCTCCCCTTGGCCGCCTTGCCTTCAGCAACCTCTTTGGCCCGAGCCCCGAAGCGGGGGAAAGTGAGACGGGGCATCTTCAGAGCTACCTCGGGTGCCTCGCCCCGGGCCTCCACTTCTGCGCCAGGCAAGGCCAGGTCCACCCCCACCGTGGGCACTGCCACATCCAGGGTGGGCACCGTCAGTGCCGCAGCACCTTCTCGGCTCTCCAGGCAGGGGAGAGTGGGCAGCGAAGGGAGTGAGGGCAAGGTGGGCAGCTCCACTTGAGGGACGGAGACCCCCACAGCTGTGGGCTCCACAGCAGGTGCAGCTGGGGCTGCCAGCCGGAGGGTTGGCAGATGGAGGGCAAAGCCACCGGCTGCCTCTGCTGAGGGGGCTGCCTCTGCCGGCGCCTTGGGGGCTAAGACTTGGAGGAGCCCCATCTCCGCCCCTGGTAGCCGGGGCCCAACGAGCTCCACCTGGGGGGCTGTGAAGAGGGCTCCCGCTGCCACATCCGCCTCCGCCTTGCCCTTTCTGCGGGGAGGGGCAGCCGCAGCCAGCCGGGCGACCTGGGTCTCCTCAGTCACTTCTCTGACCCGGAGCCGGGGCAGCTGCAGGCGGCGGCGGGCCGGGGCAGCTGTGACGGGACCCTGGACGGTCTCAGCTTTGAGGCCCCGTCGGAGTCGAGAGAACTTAGGGAAGGAGAATTCGACGTCAACTGGGGCCAGGTCAGCGGGGGCCCCCAGGGGCCCGGGCATGGCCAGCTTCTTCTTCTTCAGAGGGGACAGACTCTGGATGTTCTGGGGAGAGAGGAGAGAGGCGGGAGGCGGTGGGACACTGGGAGGCCGCGGGGGACACCAGGAGCCCCACCTGGCTGGCCCCAGGATGGAGATGTGCTACGCCCTAAGACCACACCCCCAGTTCTTGCCTGTGGCAGTACTTGTATGGTCGCGGAGGGCAAAGACAGTCCGTTAGCAACAGACACCCAAGACCGACAGGTCCAGACCCAGGCTTTTCTGCAGCACCCTCATCCTAGAGATGGGGAAACTGAGGCACGGAGCTGGAAAGAACTGTGCCACGGGTCACTTGGCAGCAAGTGACCTTCAAGCTGGCCCCCTGGACCCTAATCCTCCATTCAGGTCAGGCCTGGGGACTGCCTAGGTGTGTGCTTGGGCTGGAGTGAGCAGGGTCCCCACCCCGGGGAAGAGATCAGGGGAAAAGGAAGGGGCCAGAGAGGGGAGGTTAGCGGTAGGATTAGTATCGAGCATGGCCCGTGCTCTCTGGGGCCGGGCTCACGGCGCGGAGCTGGGGTCGCCGGGGCAGTCCAGGGCCGGGCCCGGGCTCAGCACGCGTACCAGCTTGGCCACTTTGGCCCGCGGGCCCTTGATCTCGTAGCCAGCCACGGTCCCGGGCCGCAGTGCCAGGTCCCCGGTGGGCACAGTGCGCTTGAGGCAGAAGGAGACTTTGTAGGGCTCTGCGCATTGCAGCAGGCGGAGCGCATCCTCGTACTTGAAGTTGTCGAAGAACACGCGCGCGCTGAGCAGCTGGTCCCCTGCGGGCAGGGCAGGGCAGGGGCGGGGGGAGCAAGGTGTGGGCATCTCTCGGCTCCGCCCCCGTCCGGGAGCCAGCGCGCCCCGCGCACCCAGAGCGGAAATGGAGTCACGCAACTCTCCGCCCAGTTTGGGGTTGCTCGGCGCAGGGTCACGCCCACTCTGGCCGCACCCTGCCACCGTGCCCATCCTCAACTTTAACTTGATCTTGTTTCCATGGCCAGAGACAACAGACTCAGAAAAAAACTTCTAGATGGTCCCCTCCGTCTAGCCAGCCTCCCAGACTCTCGTGGCGGCTTACTGTACTCTCTCTGGCCCTCTTGTCCCCAATCTGCTCACCTTCCCAGCAAAATGCATTGAGTTGACCACGCGCCCCACCCATTTCTCGTGAGCTTGCTCCAGTCGCATCTCTATCTCCTCCTTGCTCCCCGCCAGCACACACCTGGACGGCTGTGGCCTCTGTGGCTGACTTAATCCCATGGCTAAGTCCTCAGCATTGGACCCAGTGTCCTCTCGCCATCATTCACTCGCTTCCAGGAGGCCACCCTCTGCTTCCTTCTGGGTCTCCACGCAGCGGACTTGACCTCTGAACGAGATCCAGTCCTTTGGAGGTCAGGCTGTTCTCCACCTGCAGGCTGCCTCCCCTGCTTTGGAGATGCTGATTCCACCAGTGTCTCTCTCCAGCCCAACTCTCCCTCCCCCTGCCCCCTCAGACTGTCCCTCTGCAACACTGCCCGAGTACCCAGGAGACACCAGACCTAAAGTGCGTTTCTGGGCTCTCCTCTCCAATCAAACTCATACCCATGTTTCACCTTTGTGAACAACCAACTCCATCTTCAGTTCAGAAGCCCCTCTCTCTCCATCCCACCACAGATGCACTTTGAAAGACTCTGCCTTCACCATTTCCAAAGCCGACTCGTCACCTCCACGAACACCAGCCTGCGCATCACCATCTCAGTCCCATACCATCACAATTGTCTCCTGCTTCCAGCACACCACTGTTAACACAGCATTTCCACACGGTCCCTTCCTGTCCCTCCTCTGCTCACAACCCTTCCAGAACAAAACCCAAGCTCTTCACTCACGAGGAGCCCCAAACACAGCATCCAAACTCGACTGCCATGGAGTCCATCTGACTCATGAAGACCCTCTAGGGCAGGGTAGAACTGCTCTGCGAGTTTTCAAGACTAACTTTCCGAGCAGAGAATCTCATCTGTCTCCTGAGGAGCGGCTGGTGTGTAACCACCACACTACCAGAGCTAAAAGTCCTCCACATATTGTCCTTCCCTTATCCCTTTTTGTTCCCCTAATAATTTCCTTAAGCAGTGAACCTTTATAACTTGCCATATAGCTCAATGTCAGACCACATAAAATGTAGATCCAGCCATATTCTTATTACATTCTGCTTGGGTTTTCTAGCCTACCTGGTGGTGTGGTGGAGGACTAACCGCAAGGCCGGCCGCTGGAAACCACCAGTCACTCTGAAGGAGAAAGACGGGGCATTCTACTCCCACCAGAGTTAGTCTGGGAAACTCACAGGGCAGTTTGACCCTGTCCCAGAGGGTCGCTATGAATGGACACCGATTCCAAGGCAGTGAGTTTGCTTCTGGGTTCTGACCTGAAGCCAGCCGACCCTGTTGCTAGGTGCTGTTGAGTTGGTCCCCACTCACTGAGAACCTAGGCACCCAGAAGGACAAACGGCCTGGTCCCGAATCATCCTCACAATGGTTAGGTTTGAGCCCATTGATGCAGCCACATTGCCAGTCCCTCTCCTTGAGGACTTCCTCTTGTTTGCCGCCCTTCTGCTTTATCAAGCATGATGTCCTTTTCCAGGGACTGGTCTCTCCTGACAACCTGTCCACAGTAAGTTGGATTTAGTCTCACTGTCCTCCCTTCCAAGGAGGATTTACCTTGCTGATCTCATCGCTTGCTCTCTTCACATGCTTCCTGGTTCTCCCTGTCACGAGCCAGGTATGCTCCCACTTTTGCACTGGTTGTTCCTGTGTCTGGAATGTTCTTCCAGATGCCCCATGGCTCGATTCCCTACTTCTGGGCCTTTCTACCCTCCCCTGCCCATTCTGCTCAAAAGTATAGCCTCTCTCCAGATGCCCAAAGCACACATCACCTTCCACTTCATTCTGTATTCCTCCCTCAAAACTCACTGCCATCGAGTGGATTTTGACTCCTAGTGACCTTATCGGACAGGGTGTAGCTATTTCTGTGAGTTTCTCAGATTGTCAGTCTTTACACAAGTGGAAAGCCTCATCTTTCTCCCACAGAGTAGCTGATGGATTCAAACTACTGAGCTTGTGGTTGGTTACCAGCCCACCACATAGCTGTCCCACCACCCAGGCTCCTCATCTATACTTATTTGGCTTAAATCTGTTGTCTTTTGTCACTGCTGCAGCCCAAGCACCTAGAACAGTGTCCGAGAATAACCTCAGAACCAAACACTGTCACGAAGTCGATTCTGACTCATAGTGACCCTTTACAATGGGCTAGAACTGCCCCAGCAGGTTTCCAAGGCTGTAAATCTTTTCAGAATCAAAAAAATCTCATCTTTCCCCTTCAGGGCAAGTGGTAGATTGAACTGCTGACCCTGCCCTTAGCAGCCCAATGACTAACCCACTATGCCACCAGGGCTCCTAGATCTGGAAATAGAAGGTGCTTAATAAATAAATAATTGTTTTTTGTTGTTTTTCTTTTCTTGTTTACTGCTTCCTTTTTTTAAATCATTTTATTAGGGGCTCATACAACTCTTATCACAATCCATACACACATCAATTGTGTAAAGCGCATTTGTACATTCATTTCCCTCATCATTCTCAAAACATTTTCTCTCCACTTAAACCCCCGACATTAGGTCCTCATTTTTCCCCTCCCTCCCCGCTCTCCCCTCCCTCATGAGCCCTTGATAATTTATAAATTGGTATTTTGTCATATCTTGCCCTGTCCGACGTCTCCCTTCACCCACTTTTCGGTTGTCTGTCCCCCAGGGAGGAGGTCACATATAGTCCCTTGTAATCGGTTCCCTCCTTCCTCTACCCTCTACCCTCCCTGTTTCGCCACTCACACCACTGGTCCTGTAGGGCTCATCCGCCCTGGATTCCCTGGATTTTCAGTTCCTATCTGTACCAGTGTACCTCCTCTGGTCTAGCCAGACTTGCAAGGTCGAATTCGAGTCATGGTAGTGGGAGCGGGGAGGAAACCTTTAGGAACTAGAGGAAAGTTGTATTTTTCATCGTTGTTACATCGATATAAATAAATAATTGTTGCATGCATGAATGCCATTGGCCTCATCTGTTTTCTAAGTCATTGCTCACTTTCTAAGCTCCCCTCCCAACCTCATCCAAGCTTTAACTTCACCCCTTTCCCCCTGACCCAACTACAGACAGTGACTGAGGCTTATTGCTAAAAGGACCAGCCAATCTGTCTTGGGAGAAGTATGTGGCCAGCTGTTGCTTAGAGACAAAGGTGTTGAGACTTCTTTTACATACTTTGGACATGGTTTCAGGGGAGACCACTCCCTGGAGAAGGACATCATGCTTGGTAAAGTGGAGGGGCAGTGAAAAGAAACGAGATGGATTGACTCAGTGGCTCAGCAACGGGCTCAAACATTACAATGGTGAGGCTAGGGCAGGACAGGGCAGTGTTTCATTCTGTTGTGCATAGGACCTCTGTGGGTCAGAATCGACGGCGTCTACTTCCACCACCGCCTCGTGCTTACTTTACCATGAACCACTTAGCTATGTGTTTTCAAATATTGACTCAGAATAACTCAGAGAAGTAAGTACCAGATTGAAAAAGAAAAAAAAAGCAGGCAGAAAAAGATCATGAGCTAGTCAATGGAGGATCTGGGGTTGGAACCCACGAGAGACCTCGAGGGGCAGCGCCGCACAATTGCCACGCAAAGTAGAAAGAAGCTCAAAACCCCCTTCAAGCCCTTAACGGTTAAGGCTTAACCCAACCCCGCCTCCTAGCCGCCGGCCACGCCCACACACCCCTCAGCCAGTCCCCGCCCACCTGGCCTTCTAGCCCCGCCCCTGGAGGGACAGCCACGCCCCTAGGAAACGCCCCCTGCCACAGGCCCCGCCCACCTTCCTGCAGGCTGAGACTCCGCGCCGCCGGGGAGTCCTCGCGCAGTTCGCGGACGAAGATGCCCTCCTTGCCGCCGCCGGCGACGTTGATGCCGCTGACCCCGGTCTGCGCCTCGGTCTCCACGATGATCTCCACCAATTCCGCCCGCCTCAGCTCCTGGGGAGGGCCCCGAGGGGTCGCCATGGGTCGTCGGAGCCCGCCGTCGGGGCTGCAAAGCGCCTCTCACGGGCGAGCGGCCCGCGGGTCCGTTCAACTACAGGGCCGGGGCGCGCACTCCTGGGGGCTCAGGTCGGAATGGGCGGGGTGATGGGGCGCGGTCAAGGTCCGCTAGGGAACCTTGGTCTGCGCCATGGCACGGCACTGGGCTGCTAACCGAAAGGTTGGCGGTTCGCACCCACCAGTCCTTAGTAAGAGACCAGACCTGCCGGTGTGCCCCTCTAAACATGACAGCCCTGGAAACCCTAGAGGGCAGTTCTACCCTGTGCTATAGGGGCCCCGCGAGTCGGAAAGCTATCAGAGCTATGGAGTCGATGCGGACTCTTAGCGACCCTGCAGGACAGGCTAGAACTTGAACGCCTCATCCTCCTGTTGGAGGTTTTGAACTGCTGACCTTGTGGATCCAGCCCAACCCTTAACCACTACACCACCAGGACTAGCACTGGCGACAGGAAATGAAGAGACCGAAGGGCGGGGCCGGTGGGGGAGGATGGGGTAGAGAAGCAGGCTCCAGAGAGGAGAGGCCGCAAGGGGCTGACCTGACTGTAATGGAGAAAGCTATTGAGACTCCTGAGCGCGCAGGGGCCAGACCATCGTGCCTGTCTTCAGAGGAACCACCCGGTGGGTTCCAACCTTCCAACTTGCGTGACCCAGAGACTGCAAACGGGGTGGCAGAGATGTATGGAGGTGGCCAGGACGTGCAGGGCCAGAGAAGGGGACGGAGGGGACAGACTCAATACTCAGGGCCATCCAGTCGATGCCGACTCAGAGCGACCCTATAGGACAAGGTAGAACTGCCCCTGTGGGTTACAGAGATTGTCACTGTTGATGGGAGTAGAAAGCCCTGTCTTTCTCCCACGGAGCTGCTGGTGGTTCCCAACGGCTGACCTTGCAGACCCCCATGTGTAACCACTGTGCCACCAGGGCTCCTAGGGAGGTGCCAGGGGGCTTCAGAAAGCCCGTGGGAAAGAGGAAGGGAGTTAATCTCATTCCCACAGACTTGTTGACGCCCCCTCAAATATTCTACAGGCAGGGCGGAGCCTTGGGGAATGCACAAGGGGTCGGGTGGGCATAGGATTCTGAAGAAAGCACTTTTGGGGTTCAGGATGGGGTGTGAGGGGGAGACTGGCCTCCCTGGGGGCTTGATGGCAGTGAAACCGCCCCATTGTGGTCTTAGTGACCTCAAGGCCCGCCCAACGCCCACAGCAGAGGGAATCCAGTGAAGTGGGGAGGGTGTGTGGGTAGGGAATGGTGGCCCGGCAGACGTGGCATTTCAGGCATTTGCTGTAAATGGTGCCGCCCTGGCACAGGCCCAACAGCAGAGTGGGGTTCACACCAGAGCTTCCCGGAAGTGGCAGTGAGAGACCTGGCTTCCTCATCTATCGGGGATCAGTCTGCTGCGTGTCCCTAGGGGAGAACCTTGCCCTCTCTGGGCCGATTGCCTTGCTGTCCGATTGGATGACCTGGGCATACTGGATTGTGAACTGACACCTGCTGGAGGCTGACTGCGGGGAGGCAGGTGGGGATCAGGTCTGGACTGGGAAGTGGGGGAACAGGGACAAAGTTGGAAGGGAAAGGAGAGGGCAGCAGAGAGCATGCAGTATGCCCATCATCACCGCCCCCCTTTGCTTGGCAAGCCCCAGGCTAAGCCCTTTGAGTGCAGCCTCTCTTAGCATCCTTGCCACGGTCTTAACCAGCCAGAGAGGAGGACATTAAGGCCTCGAGACGTGACGTGACTTGCCCACGTGTGACGTTATGGCCACACCACAGGACTTCGGTCCCAGACTCCGTAGGCTATCTTGTAAGCAGTGGCCTTGAGTTTTGCCCCAGCCCCCTGCCCCCTCCACCTCCCCTGCTCCGACTTGTCCAAAGCTGAGCCACTCGGGGCCTGGCCCGCATAGAATAGAGCCAGCCCGTGCCACTGCCTGGCTCTGCCACGGTGCCGGCAGTACATGTTCCAGGAGGCTGCCCAGGTCTAAGAGTGAGTCACACACAGCCTCCCGGTGGGGAAGGTTGCCCCATTTCACCCACAGGGAAACTGAGGCTCAGAGAGGCGAGCCCACTTGCCTAGGGATGCCCGGTGAAGTAGCATGGCTGGGACTGTGCCCTGAAGCTCGGGTGCATAATGCGTTAGGTGTTAGGCTGCCAATCAGGTTTTTACTCCCCCCCCCCTCACAGCACCAAAAACAAAACACCAAACCTGCTGCCAATGAGTCAGGTCAGACACATCTCAGAATCACTGCCACCGAGTCCAGGCCGACGCCTAGTGACCCTGTAGGACAGGGTAGAACTGCCCCTGTGGGTTTCCGAGACTGCAGCTCTTTACTGGGGTAGAAAGCCTCCTCTTTTTCCCTAGGAGTGGCTGGTGGTTTCGAACTGCTGACCTTGTGCTTCAGCCCAACATGTAACCACTACGCCACCAACACTCCTGGTGGAGCCCATCGACGCGCTGCCACCAAGTTGATCCTAACTCTCAGTGAACCAGTAGGACAGAGTAGAACTTCCGTGTGGGTTTCCCAGGCTGTAACTCTTTAGGGCAGTGGTTCTCAACCTTCCTAATGCCGCGACCCTTTCATACAGTTCCTCAGGTGGTGGTGACCGCCCCCAACCTAAAATGATTTTCATTGCTACTTCATCACTGTCATTTGCTACTGTGATGAATCGGCTAGCCCCTGTGAAAGGGTTGTTCAACCCCCAAAGGCGTCGTGACCCACAGGTTGAGAACCGCTGCGTTAGGATCACAGAAAGCCTCCTCTTTCTCCCTTGAGGGGAGTTTCAAACTGCTGACCTTCTGGTTAGCCGCCCAATCCGTAAACCATCATGCCACCGGACTTCCTCCTCCTGCCTCCTATTGGGTCCCCGAGACTGGATCTGTATAGGACCAGACAGCCTCATCTTTCTCCTCCAGACTGGCTAGTGGGTTTGAACCACCGACCCTGCAGGTAGCAGCCCCGTGCCTAGCCCACAGCGCCACCGGCGCTCCTTTCCTTCCTCCCTCACCGAGACCCATGTGCTAGTGCCCTTTCGCAGATGAGGAGACGGAGGCACAGAGAAGCCAAGACCGGTCTCCTGGCTGCTTTGGTCAGCACCCTCCACGCCCCAGAGAATGCTCACCTCAGCACTCCGGCTCCTGCCTTCCATGGCTCCTCTGGGAGTCTCCTGGGCCCCAGGCTCCCACCGCTGCTGCTCCTTCTGTTGTAGGACCAGCTTCAGCTCTGCATGGAGCAGTTGCCTCTGAGCCTGGGGGGCACAGAGACAGGGGCTTGAGGCCAGGAGGGGATGGCCACCGATTGGGCGCAGGGGTGAGGACAGGGTAGGTGTGTGTTCTCACCTCGGCCTGGGCACAGGCACCCCCTCCTAGCAGGACCCCCGCCTGGGACGCCGCACAGATGTCCACAGGGTGTGTGCCCTTCCCCTGGGGTCTTGCTGCCTGTCAGGGAGACACCAGAGCATGAGGCTCTGTGCAGGCCAGGGACGGCCAGCGGGGGTGAGGGGGGGGATGGGGCGCCGGTCAGGACTCACCTCAAGCTCTCCGCTGGCAACTTGGGCCTCCTGGGTCTGGGGCTCTAAGAAGGGTAACAGGGGCAGTCTCATCAGCTCTAAGGAGCCCTGGGGGCGTGGGGGTTATGCCGTGGGAAACCACTGGCCACTCCCCAGGGAAAAGAGGGGCTCTCCACTTCCCTGAAGAGTTAGTCTCATAAACCCACAGGGGCAGTTCCACCCGTCCTATAGGGCCCCTCGGAGACAGCGTCCACTCGATGGCAAGGAGTACCCCCGTTTGATTTTGATCATCTCCTGCTAACTCCCACCGACTGTTTCCTGGGACCAGCTTCTGCCACGCCCCTCCGACCTACCCTAGCACCATGCGCAGGTTGGGGAACGAGGCTGGGAAGACCTTTGTCTCAGGTAGGGGAGCATCTGGAAGTTCACAGTAAAGCCAGACTGAGTGGCTGGCCCAGGAGCCCAAACCCACGATTTAATGATTTAATGACAGGTAGCACTCAGATAGATGCCTGAGTCTCACAGCTTCAGGTCCCTGGTCTGTGGCCCAGGAAGGTAAGTCCCGGTCGGTCTCCCCTGGGCGCCAGGACGATACATGAGTTCGCATTGAGGACAGGGGCCTGGCCCATGGTAAGCGCTTGATAAACTTTTCTATCATTGGTCTTGCTAAGAACAGCCTAAGAGCCCGCAAGGTCCGCAGTTGGAAACCACCAGCCACCGCATAGGAGAAAGAGGAGGCTGTCTCCTCCCATAAAGAGCTACAGCCTTGGGAACCCACAGGGGCAGTTCTACCCTGTCCTGTAGGGCACCGTAAGCCCTTGTCCAGGAATAATAACCCATTGGAGGGATTGAGTACGAGCTTTTGGTCCCTGCCTCCCTGAGGGACGGTCTGATCCCTGTCAGAGCAGGTTCAGAGAGGCCAAGCCACCTGTCTGGAGGTGACTTTCTGAGAAGGAAGTCACAAGCAGTTTTGCTCTGGGTCTAGGACACTGCTGTCAGCTTGCCCCACCCCCGACTCCCTGACTCAGGGCTGGCTGGGGCCCACCTGACATGCCAGCCTGTCCACCCCCACTGCGGAGCGAAAGGGCAGGCCTCACGAGGCACATTCCCACAAACAATGGGCCATCTGGCTATGCCCAGCCGAATTCCACCCTGCCCACCCGCCCCCCAGCTGCACAATAGCCCTTCATAGCCCACCCTCAGCAACCAGGACAGAGAACACAGGGACCTCCCCCCCACACACACACAGCCTTCTGCCTGCCGCACCCACTCTCCTGCTGCCTTCCCACCCAAGGGTCCTCTCTGACGTTCTCAGAGGGTCCTGGTCTCTGTGTCCTTCCCCAGCCCCTCCCAGCAGGCAGCAGAGCTCCCAGGGGGTTGGCTCCCATGTCTTGCAGGGGGGGCTCCCTTCCCAACAGGATCCTGTGCTGGGTGGGTCCCATGGGCCTCAGAACCACCTGATATTGTGGTTACAGGGGTGGAAACTGAGGCTCAGAGAGAGACAGGGATTTGCCCAGGGAGCAAGGGACAGAGCCACAGCTGGTCCCTTGGCGCCTGTCCTACCCTGTAATTTGCACCTGGGGTCCTGAGCACTCGGGGGTGCAGGGTGGAGCCCAGTGAGGCTTCTGGGTTTGGGGACGAGGGGCTGGGGGCATCCCCCAAACAGGCAGCTCTGAGAGGGGTCTCATCAGGGTCAGCCCTGGTCTGGGCAAGTACTTTACAAACATGGCCTTCTGGGACTTGCTGAAAGAGAAGAGAGCATCAAACCCAAACCAGGCCCACTGCCACCAAGTCGATGCTGATTCGTGCAGAGCCTACAGGTTTCCCAGACTAACTCTTGCAGGAGTAGAAAGCCTCATCTCTCTCCCTCAGAGCAGCTGGTGGGTTCAAACCGCTGGCCTTATGGTTAGCACCCCACTGTATAACCACAGTGTCACCTTCCTGAGCACTCAGGGTCCTAGCAACAGAGCTGGGGCTAACCCAACTGGCACCCCATAGCTCCCCGATCTGGGGGCAAGGCGAAGCCTCTTGTTTATTGGTGTGTGTGTTGGGGGGGGACTGTTGGTGGGTGTAGGGGGTCTCCTGGGCTACAAGCTCTCTGCTTCAGGCCCAGGCAGCTAGGATCCCACCCACCCCGGGGCCTGGCACAGGAAAGAGCCAGGGTGGGGACAAGACACACTGTCCTCCTTGCTCAGCCCTGCCTGGGACAGCTGCCCAGCCCCAGTTATATTTAGCTCCAGGGTGCCCTTCATGAACCACGTACCCAGATCCTGGGGTGGGGGTGGGCAGCTTCGGAAGGAAGCCCACCCCGCCCCACACACACTTTATGTTCCCAGCTTTACCCATCCCTCTGAGTACTGGTGGGGGGAAGGGTCCCTGCTGGTTAGTGTATGGGACCCCAGTGACTCCAGGCCAGACAGTTCGTCCAGATGCCCATGGTGTAGCCACACTGGGGCACTGCCCTGAGCTCCCAGAATCCATCCTCAGAGTGCCTGTTGCTAAGCCTCATCCCTGCCTCTGCCCTCATTAAGTCTCACAGCGCTGCTTGCTTAAGGAGCCTTTCACTGGCCTTCCAAGGGGCCACTGGTGAGGTTGGGGACGTGCAGGAGAGACCAGGATCGGAGTCCCTACTGAGGAGACCCCAGACCTTGCCCTCTGCCCACCAGGGCTGCTGCCAGCCACCCCACTCAGAGCTGGTACCCTCTGCAATGGGAGCTGTCTAGAGGAGAGGCTTTCACTTGACTTCCCCAAACCCCTGGACCCTGTCTGAGGCTATAAACTGGTGGGGAGGGGATGGAGGGCGTGAGTTGGGGCTGCCTCAGTTCAAATCCCTGCTCCAGCACTTCTGAGGGATGAGTACTTGGGCAAGGTCATTTCAACTCGGGGCCTCAGTTTCCTTGTCTGTAAAATGGGCTCTGTCCCCTGGTCTGTACACGAGAGGGGCTGTCAGGATGCATATGAGCATACAGCGGGCGCTCACGAATGCAGACCAGTCCCTGGCAAGAGCCCTCCCTGGTGGTTTTGAGTTGGGCGGCTAACCGCAAGGTCAGCAGTTTGAAGCGCCCAGCCTCTCCAAGGAAGACAGAGGCGGCTATCTGCTCCCAGAAAGGGTTGCCATCTCGGAAACCCACAGAGGCAGCTCTACCCATTCCCACAGGGTCACTAGGAATCAGAATGTCTCGACGGCAGGGAGTTGGAGTCCCTAGCCGGGGCCCTGGCCGCCCTAACCGAGAGATTTGCAGCCAGTCCTTCCACGAAGGAAGACGCAGCAGTCGGGTACTGTGAGGTCAGCGGCCCTGGCATGCAGAGGTCCCATAGGGTCAGTATGAGCACTCAGAGATCCTACAGGACAGGGCAGAGGAGCCCCCGTGAGTTTCTGTAACTCTTTACGGGAGTAGAAAGCCCTGTCTTTCTCCCAAGGAGCGGCCGGTGGTCTCTAACTGCCGACCTTGTGGTGCATAGAGGGGCCAGGGGCTGCATCTCTGCCTCCTGCCCAGCCATTGCCCCCCAGGGGACCCCGCGCCCCCTGCCAGAGAGCGTAGCCCAGGGCCCAGAAAGCAGCCCCCGATCAGCGACTCTTGTCATCTCACACCAGCCCTGTGAGGGGCCTCTGTGAAAGCCTTCGTGACCCTCTGCCCCAGAGTCAATTCTGACCCACAGCCGCTGCCCCCCTACCCACCCTCGTACAAAGTAGAACCGCTCCCTGGGAGTCGTGAGGCTGTGAATCTCTACAGAAGCAGGCAGCCTCATCTCTCACTGGCAGTGCTGCTGCGGGGTTTGAACTCCTGACTGATTATCAGGCCACCAGGGTTCCTTGAGCCCATTTTAGAGCTAGGAAAGCCAAGGCACAAAGGGTGTAGTATCTTGCCTGAGGCTGTAGAACCAGAAAGGGGTCCGGCTCCGGAGCCCCAGGCACCCTCCCAGCACCTCCCAATCCCGGGCCTCATTTCCCACCATGCCTCAGCCTGGCCCGGAGCTGGCCACTGGCTAAGTCCTTACCGCAAGGCCTCCAGACTCCCCCGGGAGCTCCTGTCCGTCTGCTCAGTCCCAGCCCCAGGCTGGGGGGGAAAAGGGACGGGAAGGGGGAGGAGGGAAGACCCCGCCATTGGCTGCCGGGGCATGAAGTCACAGGAGGGTGGGTGGCAGGGAAATAAACATCACCCTCGCCAACTGCCTCCATCCTCTGGTGGGGGGGGAGCCGAGAGACGGCCTTGGCCCCAAGCCTGGGCTAAGACGGCCGCCAGGAGCCCCTCACCAGGGATTTGCACACTGCTGCCTCCACTTGGAGGAGCCCTGGGGGGTGAAGCATCGGGCTGGTAAAGGCAAGGTCAGCAGTTTGAAACGCCCAGCCGCTCCGTATTAGAAAGAGGAGGCTCTGTGCTCCTGTCAAGAGTTACCGTCTCAGAGAGGAGACACACGAGGGGCAGTTCCACCCTGTCCTCTCAGGTCGCTGAGTTAAAATCAACTAGGTGGCACTTCGAGACACCCCCCCCCCCCATCACCACTCCCGTCCTGGCTCCCTGACCCAGACATGATCCCACTGGTGCCTGGGGTCCCTGAGATAAGCTCCCTCCACTCCTCTCCCAGTCAATTTCAGGTTAACACTCCACCCCTCACCCCCACCCCGTTTGGCTGTGTGACCGTGGGCGGGCCTGGGCATGTCTGCGGACCGCCGTTTCTTCCCCCT